AGAAGGCAGAATAGCAGCTTCCTATTAGTTTCTATGGACAAAAAGAGCAGATACGGATTAAATGGTTTTCAATGCATTCCTATGGGAAATGCAGATTCGACTTAAGAACTTTTCGACCTGAGAACTGCTTTCCAATATGGATTAAGTTCGTAAGTCGAGACCCCACTGTAGCTGAGATAGACAGGAGTCACTCCTTGTTTAAGTCACGGATCTGTTACAGCTCTCTGCCAAGTGCCTTGTGGAATACTAAGCGTGTCCCTTGAGAACTTAAGTACAAATGGCATTTCTGATCATAAGAAATTGATAAAAACGTATTGATTACAGAAATCTTTTTACACAGGGTTTTTTTTTAACGCAAATCCTACGGCCCTTCCTCAAATTTCTTTCCATACCCCTGGGTGGGGGCAAGCCCACCACTTGAAAACGCTAGATTTTCTTTTTGTTTACTACAACTCCCGGAATCCCCCAACCAGTGGCTGGAGGAAGGTGTTTGGGAGATGCAGTTGGAAAAACACCTAACATATTAACGGCTGGATAGCTCCGTAGTTTAGGCATCTAGCTGTGGAGCCAGAAGTTAGGAGTTCGATTTTTCCCATTTGTGCCTCTTTGACAAGGGCCGGATTCTGTGATCCATAGGTCCCTTCCAGATCTGCAGTTCTGTAATGAGGATGATGATAATGCCGTTCTGAACTTGCCCCTTCCCGCCAATCTGGAAACCAATGACATAAAGTAAAATATTCATCAGAGATTGATGTTTGAACAGCTACGACTTTGAAACGGGTCACAGGAAGAAGTGGCCTTCCTTAAGACCATTAATGGCGCTGGCCATTTCCGCTTCTTATGAATGCATGGATTAAACCCAGCTACCATTAGCTTCTTTTTTTAAAAAATAAATCTAGTGAATGATTAACTTGGGGCCCATTTTATTTCATAAAAGGGGGTGCAATGGGTTAATCAAATCAACCAGTCTTCGTATCAGCTATTATCCCATTTCTGGCTATGCTCTCCTGTCTACTGGGGTAAAGAGCACCCTATATCAGCTGGGGATAATGGTCCCTGTCATCCCACATACCTGCAGGGGTCTAGGTAGGGGAAGACTGGATCAAATCGTGCAGCGTGGGTTGTGATATGCATGCTAGCACGCACACAATAGTAATAGTTGTGTGCTGTCAAGTCAATCTTGACTTATGGCGACCCTTTCCAAGGCTTTCCAGGTAGAGAGTATTCAGAAGTGCTTTACCCTTCTCTTCCTCTAGGGGCGCTGTGGGATTGTGCAGCTTGCCCAAGGCTACCCAGGCTGGCTCTTCTATCAGGAGGCACAGCGGGGGAATCAAACTCCCAACCTTTGGCTTCGCAGCCAGAGACGTAAACCACTCCGGAAAAGTTCTAGAATGAACACTTACGGACAATTATTTGTGCTTTAACATATACAGGCTCCACCGCCAGGCACTCCAACCCACCTGATACTGCAAACCGACACTGAACCTTACCCAGTGTTCGGGATTTAAGATACAAGCAAAACACCAGCAAAAAAAATGCTCCGCTGCTTTGTTGCTCCTCCTTCCATGTTCTTTAACAAGCGCAGCCATTTATGGCATCGGCAACAGGTCAGTCCATCATCCGCTCAGAAAGAGCTGGTCTGCAAGCGGAGAGCACTCAACCGTGTGCTGATGGCTGCAAAACAGCATCCTACAATATCAGGAGCACTCTTGATGGTGACTAGGATTTCACAATTTTGCATTGCACAACATCCAGCTCCAATGCCCCCCGTGCGCAACCAAGACTAATTAAAAAGGACTCACAAATGGGTCTCTCTCCTCTCTTTTTAATCAGAAAAATTATTCACAATTTGTTTATTTGTTTGTTTGTTCCTGCAATTTATATACCATGCCATTGGTGCTGAAGTACTATTCTGGATGGTTTACAAAAGATTAAAAACAAAACTACACAATGGAACACTGAAATATAACACAAAAAAAGCAATCACGGGCAAGGGCATGGTTAAAAAGAACCGGTAGCCCCAAGAAACGATCCCCAAAAATCAGAACTGGAGGCGAAGCGCTCAACCAGGGTAAGACTAGAAAGGCTCCTTGTAAAAGAAGTGTTTTCAACTGTCTCCTAAAAGAACACAGGCAGGGGGGGAGATGGAGCTCTTCTGAGAGCTGGTCTCATTAGTCTTGGTGCCACCACCGAGAAGGCCCCGCCTCTGGGACACAACCTTTGGGCTTCTCTCAGGGTGGCTACTTGGAGGAAGCCTGGTCTGAGATGATCCTGTGGGTCGGGCAGATGTCATTGGGAAAAGATGCTCCAACAGGTAAGGTGGTCCCAAACCATGAAGGGCTTTATACGTGAGCGTCAAAACCTTGAACCTGATCCGGGACACAACAGGCAACCCGTGGAGACTGGCCAGAACTGGAATGATGTGATCAAATCTGCCCACACCAACCACCCGTTTGGTGGCCGTGTTCTGGAATCGCTGTAGTTTCTGGGTCAGCCTCAAGGGAAGCCCCACGTAGAGGGCATTGCAGTAGTCAATCTGGGAGACCACCCATACCTGCACCAACATCCTGAGGGAGCCCTCGTCAAGGTATGGTCGGAACTGGACAATAAGCCTCAACGGGTGGAAGGCCGATCTGGACAAGGGTACAATCTGAGGGTCCCCGATAAAGAGCTGGGTCCAGAAAAACACCCGGATTTGGATAACAGGTCCCCAAACAGGCAGGCAGTTCCATCCGGTCTAGGGAAAATCCCCCCCACAAACCTTTCGGAGGGCTCCCCCAGGAACAGAATCTCTGTCTTGTCCAGGTTCAGTATGAACCTGTTCGTCCACGCCCACTACAGCACTAAAGCCAGGCGCCGCTCAAGGGTCTGGACGCAGAGGTGGTAAAGGAGAGATAAGGAAAAAAAAAGACGGAGGGGAGAGAGGAGCGCATTCTTCAAAGATAGTCCTAGAGGAGGGGCAGGATCTGTTCTCCATCATCTCGGAGGACAGGAAACATCATAAGGGGCTCCAGCTGCAGGAAGCCAGGTTTCGGCTGAACATCAGGGAAAACTTCCTGTTAGAGCAGTACGACAGTGGAACCCATGACCTCAGGAGGTGTTAAGTGCTCCAACGCTGGAGGCCTTCAAGAGAAAATTGGACCACCCTCCGTCCGATCTGCTTTGAGTTGGATTCCTGCCTTGAACAGGGGCTTGGATTGGATGGCCTCGTAGGCCCTTTCCAACTCCATTATCCTATGAGTCTATAACAGTAATAATAGTCTTTTATGATTCTATGATTCCAGACATGTACTTACAAGAGAAAGGAGCAGCACATCATGGGGGAGGGGGGCTTAGCATTGAAATCTGTTTGAAATACCCTATCCTCCGATGATCTCCCCATACATGAAAACCTAAGCCTTCTTGCTAAGAGGCATTCAAAGAGAAAATCGTCTGTCGGATCTGCTTTGATTTAGATTCCTGCATTGAGGAGAGGATGGGGCTACCTGGCCTTATAGGCCCCTTCCAACCCAAGTATTCGGTGATTCTGTGAACGAAGGAGGGTTACAGGGCTCCATCCCACATGAGCCCCTGCTAGCATGATCAATGGCTGGGGAGGATGGGAGGTGTAGTTCACTCTCTGGCAGTGACCAGAGCAATGGGGAGCAATGGGGGTGAGGGCAGTAGAAAGGCCACTGCAAATTTGGTTCAGAAAAACCATTCTGAAGACCTGAAATGCAAATGTATGTAAGCATTTGGCAAGTGTGTGTGTGTGTGTGTGTGTATGCGCGTGCGCGCATGCGTGCGTGCGTGTGTGTGTAAAAGAGCCATATATATGATATTTTTGTTGGGGGAAAATCTCTCTCAATTATTTTAGCAATTTTTGGTTGCGGGCAGGAAAAAAATTCTTTTTCACGACATTTCACTACGTTTCGGTGGCGTTGTGTGTTATTACTGTTAGTTTGGTACCAAAGCTTTAAAAGCCCCCCCCCTTTCCATTATCAAAATGGGCCACGGCTCATTCGGGAGTTCTTTGCAATCTCCTTTTACACGGACAATGTTTTCCAGAAGGTAATACTGTAGCTCAGATGAACAGAAACTGCTGATTTCGATTCAAATGAAGAGATGCCAGGGTTAAAGGTGGAACTTGCTGGAACAAAGCCCCAAAGGATGTGGCGAATAGCCTGCACCAATTGGGGAGGGAATGCTAAATCGTCAGGCTGTTTATTTTCCTCGTATCTTTTCAAGATCTACATACAGACTGCTACTCTTAGGCCACCTTCTTTCATTCTCTAATGTCATTTCCTGGTTCTGCTCCTTTCCCTGACTTTTAAAAAAAAGGCTGACAGCCATCCAACACCCACGGGGGAGGGGGGGAATCTCTACTCCAGTTTAAGATTTGTGGCCTTCCTCTATTCTCCATTAATGGATTTACAGGAACAAAAGGAACAGCCTCCTTTCTTTTCTCCCCATTATGCCACTTCTCCAGGTTGATGGTTTGTTTTGTTTGTTTGCTTTACAGCCCGAAAAGCTGTTCCCAATATTAGAAAGAATAGAATGAAAAACATAATAAGTTAAACATTAAAAAAAAAAATGTAACCAATGCACCAGTTAAAAATACAACTGAATAATGAAAAGCAAGCATACCATAAAAACTATCTTAACTTTAAAAAAGAAAAAAGAGAGAGGGGGGCATTCAGGGACTCCATCATGATTGTTAAAAGCCTGCCTGAAAAGATGAGTCTTTGGCTGCCAGCTGCAATTACTTCTCCTCTAACGAACACCCCAGACAAGATTGCTGGATTTTGCTAGTAAAATCCCACATCCTCCTGTCCGCAGGACCTTGCTAAGTCATGGCCCCACGACTGGACTGTGGCCCCATCTCTCTCTGCCCAAAGGGAGCATGGGACCCGCCCGGGCGTCCCGCCCAGTATCTCTGTTCCCCGTTTCCCAAATTGGGCAGAAGTTCACCAGGACTGGGTAGACCTGATGGGAGGACCAACCTGTTTTCAGCTTCTCACCTGTAAGAGGAAGTGCTTGCCCGCCCCGTGAACACCTCCTTGATCTGCCAGTTGAGGGCATCCACTGCCGCTCGCCCTTTGGCCGTGTCCAGCGCCGTGGAGTACCCCGCGGCCAACCGGGAGGGTGGCTGTGCGCCATCCTCGGCCAGATGGACCCTCTTCTTCACCTTCTTGGGCCTGGCTTCTTCGGGCTTGGCCGGCTTGGCCTCGTCTTCCTTGGCCCGCTCCTCCGGCTCTTGGCCCTGCGGGGGCTTCTTCCTCCTTTCTTGGCTCCCCGACCGTTCCTTGGAGCCCCGGTCCAGATCCACGGCGGGAATGGGCAGGGGCTTCGGGATCCAGGGATGGTCCCCCCTCTTGGGGATGGGCCAAGGCCGGAAATCTTTCTGGTACTGGCTCTCGGAGTCGAAGGGGGTGTCCGAGGGCTGGTACTCGCTTTTCGGCTTGCAGCTGGGCTCTGGCCTCTGGACCTTCCAGGCCTTGTAGTCCTGGCGCATGACGGAGTCGGCCGTGGGGTGCTCCTTCGAGGAGGCATGGCCACCTTTGGTGCCCCCGGCCGAAGCCCCAGCCCCGCCAGCGGCGGGCGTGTGGTCCACAGCCCCAGAGGTTGCCCTGGCAACCGCATCCAGGTCACTGCCAAGGGCAGCCACAGGCTGGGTCTCGATGGCGGCTGCCGGCGGGCGTGGCGGTGGCAACTGCTGCTGCTGCTGCTGCAGGACCACCTGGGTCCCTGGGATCTCGGTGGCTTCCGAGTATTTGGTGAAGACCAAAGGCACGGCGATGTCGGCTTTGTCCAGCTGGTTCCAGAAGCGGGCGATGCAGCAGGCCCGGCTGATGCACGGCCAGGCCATTTTGTCTGCCGGGCCCGGACCGTCTCCCAGCTCCACGGCGGGTGTGTGTGTGTGTGTCCCCCCGCTCGCCCCTCCTTTCACCGCAGACAATGAAGGCGTTGCTGCCACCAGCTCCCTTCGGTCCCAAGGAGTCTTCCTCTCTTACATCACCGTTTGGCAATAAAAAATAAAATTAAAATAAAATGAATTACAAGAAAATAACAGCAAAGCACCGTAGAGGAAGGGCAAGCACCCTACCTGGCCTCTGTGTGTGTGTGTGTGTGTGACCCCCAACTTTCGAGGGGAAAAAACCCCAAAAAGCAATCAAGTAGGGATGCTGATGATGCCTAATCGATAATAGCACAAAACCCCAGACACCCTCTTCCAGACAGGCGGAGAGGGGGAAAAAAAACAATCTCGAGGGAGAATTCCCAGTCGATTCTTTCTCGGGCCGATCCCCGAGGGA